GAGAAGGGCTATGGAGAAAATCATCCACCAATACTACTCGGATCACCTCGCTAGCCATGTCCTCTTACCGTCATATAAATTGAATGAGGACGAATATGTTGTTCCACCAGTCCTCCCTTCCGAAATCCAGCATGCTATATCATTGGTGAAGAACAGAACAACACCCGGTCCAGACAGGATTAAACCACAACACCTGAAGAACCTGTCGCCAACTCTCATCAACACCCTGACTCGGCTGTTCACTCGCTACCTGTCAGAATGAAAGGTTCCTATTCAATGGAAAACCAGCAAGACCGTATTGTTGTTCAAAAAGGGAGATCTTCACGACATAGGCAATCATCGCCCAATCTGCTTGCTGTCCGTTGTCTATAAACTCTTTACTCGAGTCATCCTGAACAGGATTGACAGAACACTGGACCAAGGACAGCCATGCGAGCAAGCAGGGTTCCGAAAAGGATTTAGTACCATAGACCACATCCACACGACTACAAGACTCATTGAAGTTCCACGAGAGTACAAGCAACCACCCTGTCTCACTTTCATCGATCTGAAGAAAGCCTTTGATTCAGTGGAAGCAGAAGAGGTTATAGAGGCTCTGGATAACCAAGGAGTCCCTACTCGGTATATAATGATTCTTCGTGAGCATTACAAAGATTTCACTACCAAAATATCTCCATTCTACAACAATATCACCATTGGCATGAGAAGAGGGGTTCGATAAGGCGATACAATTTTGCCAGAACTATTCACTGCCACCCTACAGAACGTCATGCGCAAATTAGAATGGGACGATATTGGAGTGGAAATTGACGGTCGACAATCAAACCATCTTCGCTTTGCTGACGATATCGTTCTCATAACACCAAACATCAGTCAAACGGAACGAATTTTGACCGATTCCGATAACGCCTTTGGAATGATTGGTCATCAACTGAATCTAATGAAAACAATGCTCATGAGGAACGGATGGGTTTTGAATGCCCCATTTACGCTCAACGAAACGACAATCTCCGAATGCTCCAGTTACGTCTATCTAGGTCGTGAAAACAACATGATGAACGACCTAGCTCCTGAGCTGAGCAGGAGGAAAGGAGCGGCTTGGGGAACGTTTAAGAGCATCGAAGATGTAGTGAAGAGGACAAATAACATCCGACTCCGTGCCCACCTTTTCGACTCGACAATTGTCCCTGCCCTAACGTATGCAGCAGAAACCTGGTCGCTACGTAAGCAGAATGAAAGATCACTTGGAGTTATCGGAAGCGCAGTCGAAAGGTCGATGCTAGGAGTATCCCGTATCTCGCAAATGAGAGAAAGGATCCGAAGTTCTGACCTACGTCAACGACAGAAAATCAGAGACGCCGTTCTACACGCCAGGATATCGAGAATCAAGTGGACCGGACACGTGATGCGCTTCAACGACAACCGATGGACGAGAGCCTTTACCGACTGGATTCCTCGGGACGTCAAGCGCTCTCAAGGGAAACCACTGATCCGTTGGTCCGATTTCTTCACGAAAGAGATAGAAGAAAGATATGATACTCAGCGAATCCCTAAAGCGAGAAGGATCCACTGGGCTACTCTTGCACGCGATAGGGAAGAATGGAAAAGTTGCTGGTAACCGCTCGAGTCACTCGACGATCAACGGGACGACAGGTGGTACAGGTGATGGATGTCTCTAGTTAATAGGTTAAATTTTGTGAATTTTTTTCTGTTTTGGCCTGCAATAATGCAATGTTGTCATTGGGTAAACAAAAGTGTATGAATATATAAAATATTAGTGTTTAAAGAATCAATCGATTCGACTATTATATGATTTTCTGCGTGTCCTTATAATTTTACGTTTCGACAACGTCGTTAAAAACGATGAGTAACATATCAATGCTTCCATTTCTCATAATTTCAATCCTTCTCATTTGAGGCTGCACTGAAAATCGAAACTCGTGATAAACGTGAAGTGCTGAAATTGGAAGCGAAGGTAAGAAAACGTTTCGAAAAGCAGAAAGATTGGAAAATGAAAATCTGGAACTACAGTTTCGAAAATAGTTTTAAAGTTTTCTGCTGGCTTGTGTTATTCGATAACATGATTCCTAATTAGATAATTCTCTTGTGTGTCCTATCGTAAACTATAACGTTATTTGGTACGTGCCTCTGCGTGACGAATTAAAGTGCACAGCGAGTTGTTCATATTACTCTAAAAGGGTATCCCAAATCAAAAGACAACTGGCATTCGCACCCGGCGGCCAAACTATGTTCACTGAAACTAGTTCTAGCAATCATTGGTTTTCAAGCAACAGCTACTGAAATGTGGTGACGGCACGGTAATGATTTCCCACTGCCCTTAATACTCTGGGCGAACGTGCCTCAACGAGCAGTTACTGCTAAACTGGAGTTGTGAAGCGGGTGCAATACGTAGGTAGTCGTTGGTCGCTCAAACACCCGAGGTCACTAAACATTTCCTCTCACCGCACTCCGCAGTATGTTACCAGAGTTACATGCAGCGATAGCAGCGCATCTAAGATACATCAGTAGGTTACGTAAGAAACTGTATAAATCAGATCTGCATCATACTGTCACCTCTAGAATGCATGACGATGTCGAATGGAAAGCACATCAGTTAACGATTGGTCAGCACTGAACTTTTTACTTTTTTAATGAGATGTAGCCTGCGGATTGCTGACAGCTCAATACCCTGCAGCGCGGAAAAAAGTTTTAGCGGAGTAAGAGTTTCGATAGTGCAAAACGTTAACATGCGGCCTCGAAAAGAGGGAGATGCCGGGTTCAATAACTTTTTGGGAATCAGGACTTTGGAATTCGCTTAGTAATATATATGTATATATATATATATATATATATAAGAAATTGTGCTATATCGCTCTTAATCAATAGTGATTTGTAAAAAACGACTATCCTAAGTCTAACCGTAAAAACCGTTCAATCATGAGAAATGTTGCATGCTCCTATTCGAATTCTTTGGAATTAAATTTGTTGTCTGCCTTTCAAGTCTATGGCTCAATTCTCCGGTATTGGCAACTAACAATGATATGATTGTCGCTCCTGCTTTTTTCGCTCTAATTTAGTATCAAAATATTACACAGTCTTTGAGAAAGGTCTTATCACGAGATCAGTGTAGGAATGTGTCGCTTTCTGCTCTACCTTTTGAGTCTCAGCCTTTATTAATTAGATCAAAAGTTCTTTGAAAGAATCATATGACTCTTTATTCTTATCAACAGCAAACTACTTTCCCGATGTTATATGTTGATGCTGAGTGGTAGTGATTTCTTCACTAAAAGCGTTTCTTACGACCGACTTTAAGATTTGGAGATGGTTGACGACATTTCAAGTGACGAGGAGTGATCACAGCTGATTTAAGACGGAGATTTACGACTTTCTGTAGTGGTCAAATCATAAGCGCGTTATTTATTAGGTCCTCTGATATTCTCATAAGTTTTGGCAGTAGAACAGTGAGCGCCAAATTTATTAGCCAGAAACAGTTAGAATCGCAAATTTTGGTGCCCTCCAGTTGCGCATTTTCCTCAAACATTTTGGTTTATAGCTTACTTGTACCTAGTTCAGGATGGAACTGTCTTGCAAGCAAATTTGCTTGCTATTCATACACGATTGGCGCGTAGAGGAAAACGCTAGTGAAGTGGCAAGGTCAATGCAAGGTCAATGGAACTTGGGTGATAATAGAAAAAAAGGCTAGGGAGTGGTTTGCGAAGTTCAAAGATGGAGAGAACAGTATGGAAGACCAGTCGCGCTCGCGCCGCCCGCAGGAGGCTTCAATAATCCTGCCCGCCGTTTCACTACCATTTTTCTTTACGCACCATTCTTGCATAAATAGCAAACGAATTTGTTCCCACGGCAGCCCAATCCTAAAACAATCATAGGTAAGCTGTATACCAAAATGTTTGCTAGCAAATGAACAATTGAGCTATTCCAAAATCATACATGGTGAAATTTTCTGTTGATAAATTTAATGTTCATTGCTCTAATTCAAATCGTTTCTTCGAGTCCGCCATCCACAAAAATCTGCAAACCTTTTGCGTGTGCCTTCAGCCGCTGCTTGAAAATTTATTTATTCTTCCGCGAAAGTTGCTGCTAACTGTTTGAGTCAGCTGCTTTGGAGGCCTAGGATGGTCGTGTTATGATGCTGCCACCTGGAATGCAAGGAGTGAACCTGCTTCAGCCAAGTTTAGTCCCAATTTTTGCGTGGTTGGAGAAACAAGAAGATTTGTGGCTTTGTAGTGAACTTTGAATAGGGTCAAAGCAGATCAAGGCAATACTCATATACAGTAATTGGAAGGAGCACTAGTGGAGCAATGGTCACAGGGTGTTATACCATGTAGCGCATATAGCTTCTGGGTATTCACACTAATGGGTTCAAGTCATTGGAGTATTAAGGAAAGGAGCTCAGTACTGATCTATTCTTCACTGATGAGTCTAGTTCTCGACTCCACTATGAATCACAGAAGTGTCTGAAAGCCTCTGGCAGATGAAATGGCTTGTGGTAGGCTACCGATGTATGAAGTCCAGCTTTTCCATTCTTCCACATAATTGTAGTAGATTTTTATCGAATCCGGAGATATGCAACATCCCTTTTGTCGGGAACAGAATCGAAAAAAAATTGCGCTTTTATTACAATGCAATTCCAACCAATGTGCTAGGAGCAACCTTGCCGCAGTAAGTGGGGTTGCACATGATAAAGGTCAGTTGGTATATTTGGAGAATCTTTGGAGTTTTTTGGCTAAACTACCTGTATCAGAATATAAGTTTAGAGCGCAGGGTGAAAGAGTGAGATCTGGGTTCGATCCCAGCTGATGTTTTTGCACACCACTATACTTTATTGAGTTTAGTGTAACATCATGCCACCGGAGAAGGAGGTCAAATAAAATGAATTCTGACTGATTGTTGAAACCCAATATCGGTCAGCGTACACACTGTAGACGTTTGGCTGTTGACAGATAACGCGTTGTAGTGTAGAAAGAGTGTTGTCAAAACGTGCGTCGGTAGTGCAGTGGTTCAGCATGCGTTTCCGAGAAGACTGAAAACTGGGTTTGAATCCCAGCTGACGCAAATGCTTTTGCGCACCACTCTACACATTGGGTTTATTATAATATTAGAGTTACCACCGATGATAGATTTCAGATTTTACGTGCACTTGGAGATTCTCCATTTGTTCCGCATTTATTGGATGCTGGAAAGAAACCGACATTTTCATATATAGTCATAACATTACTTGGACCAAGTTTGAATAAAATATTAAGGTATTGATTGCTCAACTGTCATTCTACGAGAAATAATGATTCCATGCCATTACAACTTTGCAATTCTCCGTTTTAAATTGGCCAAGAATGAATATCATTCAGGATTTTCGGCAAAACATGTAGTATATCGGCACAGGTTCGAATAGCAATCAATCTACTATACGCAGTTAAACAGCTTCATGACGTATGTTCCAACTTTTTCCCTTCTTTTTACGGGTTTTGATTTTGGGGGAGGTGCCAAATCGGTTCTATTTGATTCACATGATTGGCTATTGTGAATTTATGGTGGAAGCCGCGTATGTTCTACATGCGAATCACTAATTAGAAACACCTTAGAGTATCGATTCAAACAGTTAATGATCGGTGGGAAACTCTTCATTCTTGATCGGAATTGTTAATCGATTAGACTGATTGAAAGCTTATTAACAGAAATTCATTGTAGTTACTATTCAGGAAGCTTTGAATCCGAATGCTTACCTCAACTGAAAGCTTAACGATACCATAGATTAGCACTGATTCCAGAACGGTTTCCTCCATCGTGATCTGAAACCTGGTAATGTCGCTGTTGGTCCAGTGGGCACACCGCAGTTTCGTTTCATTCATATATTCGATTTTGGTCTTGCCAGACAGTATATCGTGACGTCGGACAGTGGACCACCAAAATTGCGAAGACCTCGGCAGCGAGCTCAATTCAGGTGACTACGGGCTTCAAAAAATTTATATATTCAATTCTCGACGCGTTATAACAATTTTCAACTTTCTTCACTGTTAGATAGATTATTTATGATATTAAAAACTGAGGATTCTAATTGTGTTGAACGCTTCTTTCCTATGTCTTACCACCTTGCCATCTTATCACACCAAATTTAATGTCTATAAAGTGATAAGCAGGTAGATTAGGACTGAGATAGACTTTTGAAACATCATTGTTAAGCAGTCAATGCAACATGAGGCCGTAGGGAGTAAGGAAGTGCACTCAGTTCTCGAAATAGATCTTAAAGGCCACTTTTGAAACAATTCTTTTTGTTCTCGGCAGTATATCAGGCGAAGAGAAACATGGATTTTACAAATACTGGACTCACTAGTGCAAATAGTTATGAGTTCATGTTGAAGACAATCATGTACACCACAAAATTATGGAATTTTACCAATACTTCGACTAATTTCCTTTTCCTATTGTCGTCGCAACCGATATCTTTTATAAGCAAAGAATTGTGGCACTTTTTGAGTTGCACGTTTTGCTATCGTTACTTCAAACAGCGTATTCTAGGGGCACATTACGTTATTGTTCGATAAATTGTCATGAGAGAGGAGAACAAGGCCGTGACGATGATCTGTGGTGCCTTCTCTATCTAATCGTCGAACTTCGAGGAGAACTTCCATGGGCGAAATCCGCGTACGTGAGAACTCGCTCACATTTACTTTTCTTCCAGTGACGAACAATGTAGTGTTTACGCCGGGTACTGATTTACTCTATTCTGTCTCGTTATGAACTTGCATAAAATTGTGAATTATGTGGCCAAAATTTAAGAAGTCGACACTGCTAAGTCCCAAAGTTGTGCACCTTTTTTGCGACATCATCATATATCGTGGACGTGGTTTTATGCATATTTGAACTGCATGGTAGTTTGCTGCAGCCAACCGCTATATCGAGTCAGTGCTGCAATGCAGCAAACATTCTGGTAGAAAAGCACATTGTGAAGGAGTTAGAGACTCAGATGCGTCATAGCGCAGTTTCGAACCAGTCACTAAATGTGCATTGTTAGGTCGCTTTTTTTCAGTTCTGGTAATTCTGCGCCCTATTTCTCACGTTCCAGTGAAATCATTGTAAAATTTTACTTAAACTGGCATTTTATTAGGTGTTCTCATATGATACTAAAGCAATGAGCACAATTTTCATCAAGCAGAAGTAATGAAAATTGCTTAATAACAGTAGTAAAAGAGTGCGTCATCAGGGTGAAAACATTTTTGCTATCTCTCAAGTAACAAGCCAATCACACTCACACGCTTATGAAAACTCGCTATCCTTTGATTGAAAAAGTTGTCAATCCTCGACGCAAATGATCGATGTCTCGGAACTTATTCTCGCTCAGAAAGTGCTCCAGCGACCGAAAAAGGTGATAGTCAGACGGCGACAATTCAGAAGTGTATGGAGATTGATCCACTAACTCCTAGCCCACTTCGGTCAACTTCCTCTTTGTCAATTTGGCAACATGCAGCCTTGCGTTGTCTTGAGATAAGATGATGTTGGGGCTACGGAGCACGGCTGGTCCTTCGAAATGTTGTTATTGGATACTCAGCGAAGAACCGAAACGCTGTTCGCTTGAACAGAAATCCTTGAGCATTTGGTTTGATGATCAAGAATGCAGTCTGTGCATGGCGTCCCAATTCGTATTCGTGAAAAGCAAATTGCCAGGAAGGCTTAGTTGAGTGGCCAGGATGGGGCAAATATGGACAAATTTGGTATCCAGGGAAAGCCCAGAAAATTTTTCACAAGGTGGTATTGATTAGTTTTCTGAGAGATGGACCAAATGTGATCAGGCTGATGGCATGAATAGTGTTGCTAAGCACTTCTAATTACTAGGTTGAGAGCAGTTCTTCAACACCAGCGAAAAAATTAGATTTTATGTTTGTTTCACACAATACAAAATATAAGAATATCTCAGGAATATTTTTATAAGAAACTCCCACTGTAACATTCGTTCTAGTAAATCAAATTTTGATCCACTCTTCAGACACCAAATGATGACGATGGACAAAATTGCGCTCATAGTTTTGACACGCTATTGCTAGAAGCGACAACTTTCGGCAAGAATACTGTGAAGGAGATCTGTGGTGCTAAAGGTGAAGAAACTGTGAACATCAATGCCGAACTCTACTGCGAGCAGCTGCACCGTCTAATGCTTTGAAGATAAAGTATCCGACATTTATTCGTCGAAAACGCGCACTATTTCAGCAAGACAATGCTGGACCTCACAACGACAGAAGATTAGAGAAAAACTTGATGTTTTGGGGCGAGTCGAAGTCCTGCTATATCCATCATACAGTCCAGATGCTGTACCATCCGGTTATATTCTTTTCCAGTCAATGGAACATTCCCTGCGTGGACAGCGATTCGAAACATTTGATCAAGTTAAAGAGGCATGTCAGAAGTTTTTAGGTTCAAAGCCCAAAGGCTGGCATTTCTAGCTCTTCGGAAGCTTCTGGATCGTTGACAGGAGACCATGCATGATTATGGTCCTTATTTTGAAAAATAATCATTGTTTGGTCTAATTGAATTTTGTATAAACTTTATATTTTCACCGGGTTCAAGGAGCATTTCCCTCAACTAATGCATCTGGTTAATACCTAATCTTTATTGCTCTATTGCCGAGGCTTATGAGAAGACCTAATATGAAAACTGCTGAAGCGACTAAACCATTCAAATGCTATGATGCTTGGTTTCCACATGTCTTGCGGTCTTAACACCTCTACCATTCGTTTTGGTTCTCCTACAACTGTCGTTCATGAATGTGGTCGGGTTCCTGTGCGATACAGCTACTGCTTGAAGAAAAGTCTGGCCTACCTTTTCAAGTTGAACGCAGGCTGAGCGCATTAAATGAAAGAATCCTAATGTAGCCTTATACCAGCGTTTCATGGTCATGGATACAAGTAGTTGCGGGTCCTTGTCAATTAAAGGTGATATTTTCCTCTGAACCAACTAAGACTAAAGTACAGCAAAAGCTAACTCAGTGCAAAGGAGGAGAACAATCACTTCAGTTTTAAAAGAATAGCAAGCGACAATGAGATGAAAGAAAGTGAGACAAGGATGAAAGAGACAATTGTTCTTATGGCTAAAATGCGATGAAGATTATGCGATAATAATCTTGAAGGGCGCTTAGATGGTGGGAGAGATAAAGAGAAAGAGAAAATAAATGTCCACAGCAGAGTTACAAGAATTCTTTTTGAGCTTATCAAATAATTATGCCCAGAAAGTTTGAAATGAGATCAAAATCAAAGAGTATGGACGAACAGTTGAGCCATATAATCATCTGATCAAGTCGAAAACAAAAAATTATAGAAGTTTAACGAAAGATTTTATTCAGAGATGGAGATCACATTTTACATCTGAAAAAAACAACCACTTTAGAAGTATTGCTATGGAATTGTCCTGAACAGTTCTTAGCGTTCGCAAGACATTTGATGTGAGCACTGCACTGTTTTGGAAAATTAGTACTTTTTGAGCTATTGGAATTTTTCTGAACTACGAATAACTATAGGACGCTCAACTATTATCTACGACCCGACTATTTCCTGCTTTACAGTTTACTTATGAAGGTCATGGATGCTGGAAATTATACGTATGTCATTTCAATGCAGTGTTTCGTGAAGGACGTTCGCACGTTACGTTCGTTCAGATAGCAGAATAAGTCAATACGCATGAAAATTGTTCAGCATGCTAAAATACCTGTGTCGTCGTTTCAGGTTTTCAGCACCATACGACTGGGAACTTACAACGTCCATTCCTACAGAATCGCCGTGAGTCTAACTCATAAGCTTCACTCTTTTTGTTGATACGGCAAAACAGCTTTGATCAATATGATTAATAATTTGCAGTAGTGCGAGGGGTATCCTGGTAGAGTGGTTGTGGTGCTCGCCGCGGCGCATAGCTAAACCCCATCCCACTCTCCGTCAGTCAACAACGAACTCTCTGTGAAACACCACAGGCAAGCTATCCTCGAGATTGCAAGGACACTTGCTCAACCTTGCGCATGTATTCTATTACGTTCAAGAAGCAGATGGAAATATACGAACAGAATGCTAGAAGTA